TTTTTTTTTTTTTTTAAATATCAGGGGCAAAACGGTCCAAGGAGAAACAATAGGTAGTAAAACGGGGGGCGGTGTTTAGCAATTCACTTTAACTCATGATAGATAGTCCTTAAATTGATGTTGCCCTTTTTACCCCTCTAAAACATTGCATTTTCTGAATTTATCACCCATAATGTTGCTCTTTTTTCCAAAACGTTGCTCTTTTTGCCCCTCTAAAAAAATTGCATTTTCCTAATTTACCCTAAAATCTGCATCGTCTAGGCCTGTTCTCCAACGTGGGGCTGTCGCATTGATGGGGTAGGCAGACATGGCTTCTATGCATACAAGTTATAACCACTTTTGCAATATGCTTTGTAATAAAAATAACCTGTAATGAGGCTGATGATTAATGTTTAAACAAGAAAGGTTGCTAGGGTTTTCTGGCCCTCTTTGATTCACGCCCCGTCCAGATGAGAAGAAAATGAAAGAAAAAAGGTTCAAGGTTCCATTTTATATGTGGTTAAAATAGTAATTTCAATAATAGGGGAAATAAAATAATATACCAATGTGCTTGATATCTAGCTCAATATAGGCAACAAAAAAGTGCCTAAATGATATCTATTACTTTGCATACATTTAATAAAAAATGTAACATATATTTATGTAAATGTTATAAAACTAGAAGGAAAAGATAGAGAATAGAGAGAATGTATATTCGTAGGTATGTTTTTCATTATAACTGAAGCTCCTATTTATAGGAAAACTTCTGATGGCACAATCGTAATAATACAATTACATCGAGTACAAAGTAGTCATTCACATTTATTATATTATTACATCGTGCACCTCATGCACATATATTATAACACTCCCCCTTGATTGACTATTATTAACTGTGCGTTTTGCTGCCTCGTTAAAAACCTTATCTGGAAAAACCCTGTGGGAAAAAACCGAGATAAGGGAAAAAGAGTACAGCTGCACATGCTCCCCCTTGAGTTATCATCTATGCAAATCTCGAAGATGTCTCATTCCAATATTGTGCACGTGTTTTCGAAATATTGTGGTCGAAAGCGCCTTCGTAAAAAAATCTGCTGCATTATCGCTGGATCGAATGTATTGAACTTTGATTTGTTTGTTTCTTTCAAGCTCTTGAGCATATGAGAAGAACTTTGGCGGGATATGTTTAGTTCTGTCACTCTTAATGTATCCCTCTTTGGTCTGAGCGACCATGCTGCATTGTCTTCGAATATCACCGTCGGGTTATTATTATTTGATAGACCACTGGATTGTTGAATATGTTGAGTCATGTTTCTGAGTCAGATGCTTTCCCTAGTTGCTTCATGAAGTGCAATGATCTCAGCATGGTTTGAAGATGTTGCGACTAATGTTTGTTTCTGGGAACGCCAAGAAAACGCAGTTCCACCAATCGTGAAAACGTAGCCAGTTTGAGATGTTGCTTTATGGGGGTCTGATAGATATCCTGCATCTGTAAAACCGATCATTTCATATTTTTTTATCATTTGAGTAAAACAATCCCAAATCGATTGTCCCTTGGAGAGAACGGAATATGTGTTTGATTCCATTCCAGTGTTTCCTCGTAGGTGACGAGTTATATCTTGCTAACAAGTTGGCAGCAAAAGATATATCTGGTCTGGTGCAATTTGCAAGATACATAAGAGCTCCTATTGCACTCATATATGGTATTTCAGGACCAAGTAATTCTTCATCTTTTTCACAAGGTCGAAATGGATCCTTTTCAACATCTAACGTTCGATTGACCATTGGGGTACAAAGGGGATTAGCCTTGTCCATATTGAATCGTTTCAATATTCTTTTAGTGTAATTAGATTGATGGACAAATATCCCATTTTGGACTCGTTCTATTTGTAAGCCGAGACAATATTTGGTTTGTCCGAGATCTTTCATTTCAAATTCGCCTTTCAGTAAAGTGACTGCTTCTTGGATTTCATTTGGAGTCCCAATAATATTAAGATCATCGACATAGACAACAATTATCACAACTCCATCTTGTGATCTTTTTATAAAGACACGGGCATATTTGATTATTTATGTATCCTCGTTTTAGTAATTGTTCACTCAAACAATTATACCACATACGCCCGGATTGTTTCAAGCCATACAATGATCTTTGCAATTTTATCGCACATAACTCTTTAGGTTTGGATTTTAGTGCTTCGGGTATTCTAATTCCTTCTGGAATTTTCATATAAATGTCAGCGTCTAGTGTCCATATAAGTAAGCAGTCACAACATCCATGAGACGCATCTCAAGATTTTCATGGATGGCTAAACTAATCAAGTATCTGAAGGTAATTGCATCCATAACAGGGGAATATGTTTCATCATAATTGATCCCAGGCCTCTGGGAAAATCCTTGTGCTACAAGGCGAGCTTTATATCGTGTGATCTCATTTTTCTCATTTCTTTTTCTTACAAAAACCCATCTGTATCCAATAGGTTTTATGTCTTTTGGTATAATGGTAATAGGTCCAAAAACCTTTCGTTTATTAAGTGAATCTAACTCGGCTTGAATAGCACCTTTCCATTTGTACCAATCATGTCTTTTCTGACATTCAATCATAGATTGTGGTTTAGGATCCTCAACCTCTTTGTCAATTTCTTGTGATACCATATATGCGAATGCATCATCAATTTTTATGACCTCATCACGCTTCCAAAGATTCCCATTGTTTGCGTAATTGATGGACATTTCATTATTTTCATTTCTTCCCGAAATTTTTCCATCATCTTGATTCTTTTTTAAACTCGAGTCATGAAATTCTCTTTTCTTTTGAGGATTCTTATCTTTAGACCCAACTGGTCTTCCTCGTTTTAAGCGTGTCTTTAATTCATTTGGCATATCGTCATTTGCCATTTCTTTTGGGATCTCAATTCGAGCAGGGGCATTTACGGCTGCCACACGTGATTTGGTCACCCTTTTTAAATCAGTAAATGCATCTGGCAATTGATTTGCAATATTCTACAGATGTATGATCTTTTGAACTTCTTGCTCTCTTTGTTTGGTGGGAGGATCAATATATGATATTGATGATGTTTGTCATTCAATATTTCTCTCAATTAAATTTTCATTCCCACCTAAGGGGGGGAACAATTCTTTATTAAAATGACAATCATCAAACCGAGCTGTAAAAACATCACCTGTTTTTGGCTTAAGGTATTTGATTATTGATGGAGAATCATATCCAACATATATTCCCAACCTTCTTTGAGGCCCCATTTTTGTACGTTGGGGCGGAGCAATTGGTACATACACTGCACAACCAAAAACTCTTATATGTGTAATATTTGGTTCTCGACCATATGCCACGAGTATGTATGATGTGCATTTGGTCTTATTTGAATTAGATCATTTGCATGCAGAATAGCATGTCCCCATACTGAAGTGGGGAGTTTTGTCCTCGTTATCAATGGTCTAGCTATAAGCTGCAGTCGTTTAATCAATGATTCTGCTAGACCATTTTGAGTGTGAACATGTGCCACAGGATGTTCAACATCAATTCCCACTGTCATACAATAATCATTAAATGCTTGAGATGTAATCTCTTCAGCATTGTCAAGTCTGACTCTTTTGATAATATAATCTTAGAATTGAGCCCTTAATTTAATAAGTTGACAAAGAAATTTAGCAAATGCCACATTTCTAGTGGATAACAAACTCACGTGAGACCATCTACTAGAGGCATCAATTAACACCATAAAATATTTGAATGGACCACAAGGTGGATGAATAGGTCCACTTATATCACCATGAATCCTTTCCAAAAATAATGGTGATTCATGTCCGACTTTAGCATGTGATGGTCTCATTATCAATTTCCCTTGAGAGCATGAGGCACATTTCAATTAATGTGTTTGCAATATCCTCTGATTTTTTAATGGATGCCCACTAGAATTTTCAATAATTCTTCGCATCATTATCGAGCTAGGATGACCAAGTCGATCATGCCAAAGTTTAAACATTTTATTCGTCTTTGAAATTGTTGCAGCATAAGCCTCGATCATATTAATCTGAGTGTAATATAAACCCGAGGATAGAGCGGTTAACCTCTCCAAAACACATTTATTTCCCGCATTGTTTGAGTTAATGAAAAGATATTCAACTCTCCCTTTATTCATTATTTCCACATGGTATCCGTTCATTCGGATATCTTTAAAACTCAACAAGTTTCTTGTTGATTTTGGGGAGAATAATGCATCATTTACTGTAAATTTGGTACCTCCCATCATAAAAAATATGGCCTTGCCAGAACTCTCAATTATCTTTGCGCTTCCGGATATGGTGTTTACTTTTGCTTTATTTAATATCAAGTTGACGAAATATTTTCTGTCCTTGAGTATAGTATGAGTAGTGGCACAATCTGCAATACATATATCTCCATTTTGGATTCGAGACCTATCCATGATCTAATAGAAAACACATTTATTATTGATTAAATTCGAAATACAGATAAAAGGAGTCCACACACAAATACAAAAAAACTTAGAAAGCAATAAAAAAAACATGATCATCAGTTATTCTCTTGGTCATTTCCATCTCTGTATTCAAATACTGCATCGGCAAAATCCAGTTTCAATATGTCATCGATGCCATAATCATCATCCACACGTGTTGCATCATTTTCAGAGGATTCCCCAACCATAAAATTGGTTTCTATATTCTTATCTTTTGATTTCTGGGAATCGTTATAATTATCAATAACATGTCTCGGAGCACGACAATTTCGTGTCCAATGTCCTTCCTTCCACATCGATAACATACATTTTCATTATTATTCTCCGTCACATTGTTCTGTTCAAATTTTGGCTGGAAATTTCTCCACCTTTCATAATTTTGGACATAGTTGCGGCCTCGTCCACGATTGTATCCTCGGCCCGAGTTATACCCTCGGTGAAATTTGTGGCCTCGGCCGGTTTGGTGGTCCGGACCATATCCACGGCCACGGCCACGCCCTGAGGTATATCCACGCACACGAGCTTGGCTGTTTTTATTTTCAGTTCAATGTCTAGATATTACAGTATTTATTTCAGGTACCGCTGTAGACCCCGTAGGTCTAGATTCATGGTTTTCATCAACAGCTCATTATTTTGTTCAGCTAGCAACAAACAAGAAATCAACTCAGAATATTTCACAAAGCCTTTTGCTCTGTATTGTTGCTGCAAAAGTACATTTGAAGCGTGGAATATTGACAACATTTTTTCCAGCATATCGTAATCAGTTATATTTTCTCCGCATAATTTCAATACCGAGAAAATGCGGAACATTGCTGAATTGTACTCATTTACAGTTTTGAAATCTTGGAAACGTAAGTGAATCCATTCATAACGAGCCCGGGGGAGAATCACCGTTTTCTGGTGATCATACCTTTCTTTCAAGGCTTTCCAGATATCTGCAGGATCCTTCACAGTTAAATATTCATTTTTCAATGCCTCATTCAAATGATGTCTCAGAAATATCATTGCTTTAGCTTTATCTTGTATTGGTGAATTATTTGGGGAGATTATTGTGTCTCCCAACCCCCTTGCAGCCAAATGAATTTCGGCATCCAATGTCCATGAAATATAATTTTTTCCAGATATATCAAGAGCTTCAAATTCGAGTTTGACCAGATTTGCCATGATAACTATAAAATAAAACATCAAAACATATACAATCATTAATTCTCCAAAACGTACAGAAGAGCAAATAATAAACACATTATACAAAGACCTAATACATAAAATATAAATTCAGAAGTATGATACATCATTGTGAAAATTCCCAAGGCGTATATAATAAACAATATAATGGTAATTATAAATAGTAGATGAAACATTTTTTTTTTTTCGTGTGAGGAGAATATATTTTAATGTTTGGAATGAGTGAAAAAATGTAGTGTTATATATATAGATTGGTAAATAACCGTTGCAATATAGCCGTTAAGTAGCCGTTGGAAACAAATTAATGATATAATATTTGTTAGTTAATCAACTTATGATTATAAAATTCTAATTAATCATGTATATTACCTTAAAAATTTTCCGAGCCACTATGTAAAAAATTTAATGAATATAAGTAATGAAACAAATAGAAAAAATGTCACTACACACTACTCGATAAATCTTTCGGTGGGTACAAGAATAAGCAGTTATAAATCTCACGTCACAGTACTGGGTAAACCAGTTTGTGGGTGTTAAGTATAATTAATAATATTATTTATTGTAAATTAAAGTTATTTATCATAATTAGTAGTAATTCATAAGCAAATTTAATAATATTATCTTACCACATATTATTGACTATGGCATAGCCTGACTTGTCAATAATAATGATAGTGTGTAAATAATGTCATATTTAGTATATTCATACCGCATATCCTTGACTGTGGCAGAGCCTAACTTGTCAAAAATAATGGTAATATGTAAATAGTGTCATATTTAGTATATTCATACCACATATCCTTGACTGTGACAAAACCTAACTTGACAAGAATAATGGTAATATGTATATTAGTAAAATATACTAACTTTATGTAATACATATACATGTATATATTGTTATATTCCTACCTTTCTGACCAGGTAGAGCGCTCGTGCTGATAACGTATTATAAAACTAGAAGGAAAAGATAGAGAATAGAGAGAATGTATATTCGTAGGTATGTTTTTCATTATAACTAAAGTTCCTATTTATAGGAAAACTTCTGATGGTACAATCGTAATAATACAATTACATCGAGAACAAAATAGTCATTCACATTTATTATATTATTACATCGTGCACCTCATGCACATATATTATAACAGTAAAAACTTAATTTATCTTGTTTTGCTATTGACCAAATGATCCATGGGTGAACTATTGATCTGTTGATAGGTTTTAAAACATTGCTAAAATCGTATTAAAAATAAAAGAAAACAAAAGAAATGAATAAAAGAATCTAGAAATAGTCGTCTCGAGATACATAAATTTCAGAAAAAAAAAAAAATCCTCGGTTTACATAAATGTAACATTACAACGAGCAAATGTATATTTTTAGCCACAAAAACGAGCACTTGGAACTAAAGGCAGTTGACGAGCGGCTCAAATCCAGGCTTCAACAGTCTAGAAAACACAAAAGTACGTGGAATACCAAATGCCATGATACAATAAACACCCAAACTATCAATTTTTAAAACTACACGAAAACGCATCCACAAAATTACACTGATCTCACTTACCATTAATATTTTTGTGCTATAACAAACTGACATGTGCTAACACTCGAAGACGAACAGCATACTTTGAGCACATAGATCTCTTAACCTCTCCACCCATGAAGGAAAAGACCACACTACCCTTCAATTCAGATAAAGGAACACGTAAAACAATGCACTCTCACACATAAATTTCAGTACGAGAAACTACTTATGTGGATTTATGACACGAACATAATCCTTGCACAAAATATATGCTGTAGTTTGACAAGCTAACCTTGTGATAAGAACAGTATAAGTGCATTTACTGGGTTCATTTGTCTGAGTGTACACGTTTTCCTTTGCGACGAGAATTGTGTGCATTACCAGTTCTGACCGGCTTTCTTGGCTTTTTTTTACTGCTGCGAAAAACCAACATAAAGAAAACCTTATAAAAAATGGATTGGAAGCTAAATACTTTCAAGTTTCAAGTACCAAGGGTAAGATCGTGTAAATTTTTAGCAAATACTAAATTACTAACCCGAAAGTGGCTGAAAATATTTTCAGAAGAAAAATGATGGGCAATGCCAACAGTGCAGAAGCCTAGAAAACAGAAGGTTGGTCAACAAGTAATGGATATATATCCATCTTACCACCAAATAATTTAGAGGAAAAAAGGCTGCAAATATTTTCATCAAACTTACAGAAAACCAAACTAACTCTTTCGTCGCAAGATGTCTTGTGAGCTCGTGACTCTTCAGTTTCTCGTGAACTACATCTTGTACCTTAATCAGAGACATTGCTTTGAGATCATGAAACAATTATAGGCTAAAAATGGTTCAAAAAACCATAATTCAGAATCAGTTAAATGGAAAAATTGTAATTGATACAACTCAATTAGTGTGGAGGAAACAAACTCATGGCTTCATAGATATCAATTTGAATTTATCTTGTGGTTATTGGGCTCTGGGAAGATCTAATGCTAGTTCAGAGATGCCAATACGATTTTAGCAACGCAAACAATTCAGAAATTATCATATGAGCATTGATTACCACTTCCTACATTCCTCACAAGCCACTTGTCATCACCACAGAGCCTCCATCCCCCTTTACTAAAGAAAAGGGGGACTAAAGAATTGAGAAAAATAAACTGCAAAGTGATTCCAGGTAAATTGTCATAAGTATTCAGGCTTCCAACATCTAGCATGATAAAGAAATTTCGCGTATGAAAAAATGGCTCCGATGTACTTCATTCAATGGTTGAGGAAATACGACAAATGATGCACATTTCCCATAACTGATACATGTAATCTATATTCTATAACACACCCAGTCAGCCCTAAGGTCGATTATCATAAAACGTCCTTTCCACAACAATGCTCACAAACCATCATGTTAATCTACATTACTTTACTAGTCAAATGAAACTAAATGCTTAATCTTCAGCACAATTCAGCACTTACTATTCTTCTGTGTATGACATAATTATGGCAATTATTACTGTGACATAAGAACAATCACCATGAGGTCCCCGTTGAATGGAAAGATAAAATTTAATGGGCAAATTGGTGTATTACCAAACCATGCTCCTATCCACCTGTTTGCTACCAATAAAATAATTGACCTTATAGATGAACAAAATAAATGGAAGCAAAAGCCAGTATCATACCTGAGAATGATATGTAGTTGCCAATTCAAGGAACTTTCCATAAGCATGAACCGCCTGCTGAGTATACGGCTTTAAAACAGTGTGCAATTTATCAACATGAGGTCTTGCAGCTGTGGCAACCTGATCAATGTATGGTTTACTATGTTTCCTCAGTTCCTAAAAGGTCATATAGATTCAATCAGCTAGTGTGGAGATCAGAAGGTAAATAAATTGATGTAGACCAATAGGCAGCTCACCTGAAAATAAGGATATGCAACTTCCTGAACTTTAATGATGTGAGGAGTTGCAGCATCCTTTGATACTTTGTAGAACTCAACAGCCCTAGTTGTCAAAGTTCGAACATGCGGTTCAACTTTAGTGGTTATCACAGCCCACTGTTCTTGAACAGCTGGTACCCATTTCTTCATACAGGACGTGCAAAAAACATAAAAATGGAAAAGAATAAATAAAAACAAAACCAAGATCTTTATTTTCGGCATATAACCCCAAGCTTCAGTGAATCACTGTCAAATAAAAACTCCAACTTCCCATTTCCCGCATCAATTGACTCAAGTGAATCAAGTACTAACAACAAAAAGCACTCAGCTAGCTCTGTGTGTAGCTGACTTACAGTTTTAATAGTTTCTACATGTGGTGCAGCCCACTCTTCAGCTTGGGCCTTCTTTTCAACAACCTATTACAGGGAAAGAAAAGATAGATGCACATCAGTAAATCATAAGCTTATAGAGAACCATATAATGTGACAGTGCACATAAACCTCAAACACTTGCCTTCTGTATCAGCTTCTCCAGAGCAGGTTTTCCATGCACTTTCCAGTTTTTCTCTAGAAGAGACTGAGCACAAATACAACCTAATAAATATACTGCCGCCTTCAAAATACATTTGTGTGTGTGTGTGTGTGTGTGTGGGCGTACGCAAGCATTTGTATACCATACCTGATAGTTATTGAGATGAAATGCTAGCCAAGGCGGAAGCCAAGCACCATGAACCTGATTATACATATTACAATAAAGAAATATATAAAGCAATAAGATATTCCATGATGATGTTCATCAAAAGTTATCGAACAATACACAGCAAGCAAATTCTTGAGTATATCAGTAACAGAAGAAATAGATACCATTCCACCAACTTCTTGAGAATATTAGTAACAGCATAAATAGATCACTATTAGTTCTTTTCAGGGTTGTGTAAATTGCAAAATTCCCCGTTGCTTTGAAACACAAACATTAATCAAGAAACAATGAAGATCCATAACAAGTTTTTCCATCTAATGCAGGGACAGAAAAGGTGAGCCCTCTCCATATTGATACTAAGATATCAATTAAGCTAAAGCCATCTACCGCAAATGATACCACAGCTGATAACAATGATTCAGACAACAGAAATTACAATGATACTTGCATCATATCATTGACATTCGCAGCATGAGCAGAGGAAAGTAATAAGAAAGGAAACATAACTATACCTCCATCAACTCCTTGATCTTGGATGCTGCTTCAAACTTTGCCTTCATCATTTCTTCCTAAATAGGATGTCATACAGGGAAAGATAAATAATAGGATGTTATACAGGGAAAGATAAATAATAGGATGTCATACAGGAAAGACAATTGAACTATCACGACAAACAGTGAAAAGTCTATGTAACAACTGATAACATTTGAAATCATTGATAAAATACCTCGGCGATTTGAAGGGCACGTTCAGTTTTCCGTATCTTAGTTTTCTGATCATCAATGATCTTTTGAAGCTGTATAACAAAAACAGGGGGGCAATAACAACCAAGTCAGCTAATGAATATCAAAATAGGAAAAGAACATCCTCCAGAATGGCGAAGTGATTCAATTAAATCAAATCAGACCAGTAAAAAACAGATCAGATCCAAATAGAAACAAACACCATGCCCTTATTTTAAGTCGTTGAAGTCACAGACAAAAATAAACTACAAGGCAGCCGCAAATGAACTCCATCAAGACTAACAAGAACAAAAGATCTACGTGGCTCAAAACTGCAAGCATCTCATTGATCTCACGTGAATAAAAGATTAAAAGAAACACCCACAGGGAGAATCAACTGAATATGCCATTACTGAGGCTCAACTATATGAAGTAAAATTCATGAAAGTCTACATAATGGTCACAACTTTACAAAACGAGTAATTTGGCTCAAGGAAGTGACTTACTCTGTCAAATTTAGAATTCAGATCAGAACCCTTTCTTTCAGCTTCTCTAACCCCGGTCTGCAATAGCTCTATTTCCTTGATTTTCAAATCAATATCTTTTCTCAGTCTCTCCACTTCTTTTTCCAATACACCGGCTCTTGCGTGTGCCTTTCCCACCTGTTCTGCAGCATCTGATTTTCCCTTTCTCTAAGAAACAAACAACACAGATTTGAATACACGTGACATAAACGCATCAAAAGAGTTAAGGTATATACATAAAAGTTTTTACAACTTCTTATCGTTTTGAGATCCCAATCACTCACTTGTAGAGAGGCAATCTCATTCTCCAGTGATGCAATGCTATCTGACTTTTCTTTGATTAACTTCTCTTTAGCAACAATCAATTCATCTTTGTCTTTTAGTTCTTGAATTCTCTCCTCGACATGTGATTCTACATATATTTACAAAATAGAAAACAATTGAAAAAATGTATAAGAACAGAAGAAACCATTACTGCCTAAGAAAGCAAGTGAAACAATCAAGGTTCAAATTCACTTCTTTCACCAAAGTCACAGAAGAAATGACATTGTCCGTAGTAGAATCCCAAATAAGAAGGATATCAAGCATAACTATACACCCAAAAGCAAAAGCAAAAAAAAAATGGTAAATTCCACTCAATCAATGGAGAAACTGAAGTGTGACCCAAGGAGAAAAACAATTTTAAAATCAGAAAAGCAAATAAACATTGTATCACCTTACATTAGTCCAAATGTCATATGCATGTACACATACAGTGCAGCAACATGCTCAACTACTTAGTTTGGAAAACAAGTCACTCATACGAGCCATTACTTGATTTCTTAAAATAAACTCAAAGTAGCACTCAAAATCTGCTCTTTAAGGCATATCTCAAAAAGGGAAACAAAAATACCTCAACCACATCACTATACCAACTCTGCACTAAAACGATAAAATTAACAATTAATAACCGAAACAATCTTCATCAATCAGACCTGAAACTTTAATCCCATACTAACCGAGACTATGGATCTTGGACTTGAACTGCTCCAGGATGGATGAATCAGGACCCTCCGATCTGGGGTCTTTGACCTCGTTATCGACGTCTGAGATTGAGGCATCAGCGTCAACTCCGATACGGGCGACAATTAGGGAAAGGAATACAGTGAACGCGAAGACTTTCAACGCTGCCATTGAAAGCCACTAACGCAGGCGCCGCCGTGCCGGCGATCAAATTTTAGGACTTTTCTTGTTTGTAGAGGGAGTCTGTGTGTTTTTCTTGACAAACCCACGTTGGACACGAGAGTTTAAAGCAGTCGAGGAAAATTAATTTTTCTCTTTGAATTTATTGTTAGAGCATTTCCAATGTTATAAGCGTAAAAAATGATTATTTTTAACACATGTCAATTAGTGATTGTAATGTTAATCCACATTGGAATAATGTTAAAAGACTAGAAATTTCAATGAAACTAGTATCTCCAATGCATCAATTTGATAAAAAGTTGTTTGTATAGGTGGACCAATTAAATAATTCATTGATACAAAAAAAATAAAAAATTAAAACAAATATAAAGTAAATTGATGAGTCATCATGTTTAACATGGTGTTAGATATTAGAAAGTATGCTCAACATTGTCAACATTAAATGACATCCACCTCATCATGAAAGAGTTCATGACAAGATGCATTGGAGAAAAAAATAGAGACACACTTTCAAAAGTTGATGATATGAATGACTTTTTATAATGTCAAAAATTGCATTGGAGATGCTCTTAACAACAAAGCGCTTGCGTCGGCGAAAATATGAAAATACCTTAAAATTGATTTTATATATATATAGAGTTGGGTTTAACTGATAGAGAGTTTTAATAAAAGAAATGAGAATAATAAATCTCAATCATAGGATTGAATAATTCAACTAGTAAAAAAAATCAAAATTATACCTTTATTAAGGGTATTGTAGTATTTTTCTATATCACATTCAAATAGGTAGGTCACACTCCACATTAATACACCTACCAACTACTACTTACCAGCTACCACACGGTCCCCACTTCACACCACACGTTATCTCTCTCTCTCTCTCTCTCTCTCTCTCTCTCTCTCTCTCTCTCTCTCTCTCACACACACACACACACACACGTGTTACACACACATATACATACACCAACACACACAGAGACGCCTCAACTCATCGTCTCCAATCTCTCTTCGGCGATTCACCCATCGCCGCCGCGCAGCCACCAGACGCAATGGACGTCGGCGTTCCTGCGACATCTGCTGCCAGCCCAGCCGATCATAGTCTTCCCGCCGCTCGCCGCAACCTGCCGTCTGTCATGCATCCGTCGGGATGAGCGAGGCTTTGTCCCAGTGAACACTCACTGGAGAAGACAGCCACATCGCCTCCTTGGTTGACTCTGTCACTAGCCGTCTCTCTCGGCCCCATATCCTCGCCGGAATCGAGACAGGTGATGAGATTGTTGAGGAGGAAGCCGAACCAGAGCCCGTACGTCGCGAAGATGCTGGGGGATGTCACTGAGAAGACGGAGGCGTACGACGGCGACGGAAAGAGGCGGTTTTTCGGCAAGGAGAAGACAAGGGCTTTACTTTGGAAATTTGATAGTTGTTAGGGATTTAAATGCAATTTCTGAAATTTTATTTAATTTCAATTCATTCCATGGGTCAAATCTGCAATTTATATAAAATTACTAATAAAATATTTTTTTCCATTTTTTTACACACATATGTTAAAATAATAAATAAAAACAAAATAACATAAAAATAATAAAATAATAGAAAAAAGTATTGGATAATAAATAATTTTTTATGTTGTGAATTATGTGGGAGACGATGAAGAAATGGGCCGCGAGATGGTGGAGTGTACTGAAAATGGCGATTTAGGTCTTACTGTGAAATTTGGACAAAGTGAGAGTGTGGTCGGGAAAATGAAGAGTTTGTCCAAACTCAGTTGTGAGGGCGACACGTGTGCAAATCAGGGGCGTTGAAAGGCAGTTGATCCAGGCCGTACACGCACTCAACTATTTTTCTATTTATTTGTTTTTAGTTATCTCTTATGATGAATATGTTATTCATCTTTTATGTTGCAGAATTAAAAGATGCTCTTGTTTGTTATTGTATGGGACCCACGAGTATGGTTATAAGTTTGGGAAATGAGAAGTAAAAAAGGCACGTTTTGTGAGCTCAAATATTCCTCCACCTTTCTCTCTCAATATCTCTCTCTCTTTCTCTCTCATCAATCTATCTTCTTCCTCCTCATATCTATAGATATTTATTTACAGAGAATTCTTATAAAAATTATACAAATCAAAAATCAAAACATCAAGATCACAACAATTGGTATCACGAGCCAGCTCTTCCTCGGCAAATGGCAGAAGGTACAAGGTTGAAGGAGCTGCAAGAATCCCAAAGGAGGCTAGATGGCAACCTGCAAACAGAAATCCTTAAAAGAGAAACAACTGAACTAAAATTACAGGAGCAAATATCTCAGCTCGGAGAAAGTATGAAGGAACAGATCAATGAAACCAGAGCAGAAGTGAAGGTGAAAATGGGAGAAATAGCAAGCAAGTTTGAGCACTTCACTAACACTCTAGCTTCTCTGCAACTGCAATTTCTAAACAGGAACACAGCAGAGAAGAAGTCCATCCTAGGGAAACCATCATCCTTCACCGGCGAAACCTCACAAAGAAGAATCCCAGAAATGCAGAGAATAAGGCATGAGGGAAATCCACCACAGCACACCAATCTCCACATTCCTAAACTAGACTTTCCAAAGTTTGATGGCACAAACCCCAGGTCCTGGATTCTAAGGTGCAACAGCTATTTCAAGCTAGTCCCTAACATACCAGACTCACAAAAGGTCACACTAGCCTCAATGCATTTTGAGGGCAAAGCTGCCCTTTGTTTCAGAATTTCAGTACCAAACAATTGGAACTGGAATGGCCCCAATTTGTTGAGATCATTTCTGCGAGATTTGAAGAACTCAGGGAAGTTAAAATTATAGCTGAGTTTAATAAGCTTAAACACACTGGGTCTTATCTTGAGTATGTGGAAAAAATTAAAGAGTTAAAAGCTTGCATGTTACTTATAAATCAAGGATACTACTCTGAAGACTATTTTATAGCTAGCTTCATCAGTGGGCTAAGTGAGGAGTTGCAGTCCTTTATACATATGTTCAATCCCAAAACCCTGCAACAAACTATTGAGTTGGGACAGAGGAAACTAAGTACTCTTGAGGCTATCACAAGGAAAATCAAAGGGAGTTACAGGTCCATGCACCAACCTCAGCAGTCAACCAACTTCAAGAATTATACAATTCCAAACATGGCACCACCATTTCAGCCAAAACCCATATCCAGAATCCCCACAAAATTACTAAGTTCCTCAGCTCCAAGTGGGGTGGAGCGATGAAGGGTTGGGACTCATTTCTTGGGAAGACGAGAAATTTATCCACGGAATGTTCAAAAAGTTCGACCCTTGCGGACAAGGGACTAAAAATTGGGGGCGGAGTTGTTGTGAATTATGTGGGAGACGATGAAGAAATGGGCCGCGAGATGGTGGAGTGTACTGAAAATGGTGATTTAGGTCTTACTGTGAAATTTGGGCAAAGTGAGAGTGTGGTCGGGAAAATGAAGAGTTTGTCCAAACTCAGTTGTGAGGGCGACACGTGTGCAAATCAGGGGCGTTAAAAGGCAGTTGATCCAGGCCGTACACGCACTCAACTATTTTTCTATTTATTTGTTTTTAGTTATCTTTTATGATGAATATGTTATTCATCTTTTATGTTGTAGAATTAAAAGATGCTCTTGTTTGTTATTGCATGGGACCCACGAGTATGGTTATAAGTCTGAGAAATGAGAAGTAAAAAAGGCACGTTTTGTGAGCTCAAATATTCCTCCACCTTTCTCTCTCATTATCTCTCTCTCTTTCTCTCTCATCAATCTATCTTCTTCCTCCTCATATCTATAGATATTTATTTACAGAGAATTTTTATAAAAATTATACAAATCAAAAATCAAAACATCAAGATCACAACATTTTACAATATAAATAATAAATTATTTGATTATTTAGATAAATTCAGTTATATTGATTAATTGTTAGTTTAAACTTGCAAATGTAAAAATTCCATAATGAGGATGCACAATATTTTTTAAACGAGATACACATCATTGACAATCGAACTGCACAACAGTGTTAAATCGAACGCACATCAATTCGACCAAGATTGAACGTCAGCATAACATTGTGAATTTTAACAAAATATTAAAGTATTGGATATTCCATTCCAATTTCGAATTTATTTATAAAGAAATAAATAAATAACAAAATCAACCAAATTATATAAAAAAATATTATTTATATTTTATCTATGTATAAATATAATATTTATTTACAATGAATGCACAATAATGTTGTACTAGATGCACAGTTGTATTTGAGTGGTTGCACTCTATTGTTTTTGGTATTTTGTATATTATTTTCTCAACCAAAAATAATATAAGAATAATATATAAGATTATTAACATCCTATATATAATTTTAATATAGACAACAAATTATTTCAAAAATTTAGGATAATTCTCTTAGATCGAAGAAAATCAAGTAATTATATGTTCAACTTCATTCGATTTGTGTGAAAAGTTTGGTCGGTTCAATTTGCATAACATCGACCGACACCGCGCACCATAGTGTTATATGAATTGCACATTAATGACTGTCAGATTGCACATTATGTTTTGTGTACATATGTATTATTTTTATTTTCAAACATAATATAAAGTATTAATAAAAAAATATTAAAATACTAAATACGATTTTTTATAATACAAATAATAATTTATTTTGGTTATTCCGGTTAACCTATGTCGGCGGATTTTATTTTTTATTGGGACAATAGCTCGGTAAGTTCGTTTGTTCGGATATCGACACAATTAGATCAATCTTTTACATTTCAATCGGCTAGTTCGACAGGACCAACCGATGAATAACCGAAATAGAGTGGCATTTTGATAAATTCGTGAACTTTTGTATGTATATGGATCGACAAATTTATGATTTCCTAAAAATATGGTGTTATTTTAATGTGTAGTTTCTCACACGGCAATGTGCGATTTATGTAACATTGTTGTGCAAGTATTAAGTTTGTATTATGTTACAGATTGACCACTTACTAAAACTGAAATAATATTAAAATTTTATAAATTGCAATAAAGTCCCTAAAATGTATCAAATTCTCACAAAACAAGCCCCACAATCTTATTACATGAACAACAACATCCGCTAGAATTCGCTCCGGCCAGACCCCGTCGATGCATATATGGACGTTGTCGCCGCCCTCGTCTTCAACCAAACGTCGTCCTCGGCAAAAAAAAAAATTAATCACTTTACAGGGTCGATGCCGCCGTCAATTATCCTCCGCCGTTCTCCCGCAGCCGCTATCGTCCGTCAGTCGAAGTCTTGTCCCTACCAACGCCATCGCCCTAACACACACACACACACATACACACTAGTTGTGTATTACAGACGGCAGACCAATTTGGCTCGTTCCCGACGACGGCGTGGAGGAAAGGGACGGGCTGCGGATCCTTGGCGACCCAAATCGTGGCGGCAGACGGTGGCATATGCGGCTGATGGTTGTATATCGCGACTGTTGGCGACGACAGCGGACTCGTGGATGTGGATGGTGTCGGCGACGACGGAAGTAGCGAGGTTGTGTCGACGGCAGCTGACTCGTGGATGTGGATGTTTGTGTGTGTATCGTGTATATGTGCATGTGAGATATAGGTCTACTGTGTTTATTGGTGTGAATGTGTGCAAGAGAGAGATAAATTAGGGTTGGTGGTTTGTGGTGGGTCCCACATTAAGAGATTGAATAATTTATAATAACTAAAATACCCTTAATAATTGATAAATATATACATTTGACCACAATGTTTATGTTAATTTTTATCATACTGCCATTAATGATTGACCAAAGTTTGACTTGATCATGGCCATTGATTTGATGAATCAAGTGGTCTAGATATATTCTTATTTCTTTCACTATCTCTCTTTCTCATTTGATCCCAAAACTATATACATATATATATATATATAAAGAGAGAGAGAGAGAGAGAGAGAGAGAGAGATAAGGGATCATATGAGAATGGTAGATAGTGAAAGAAATAAGAATGATTATAGACCATTGGATCGGTATGATCAATGGACATGATAGAGTCAAAATTAAATAACAATGGTCAAACTTGTGTGGCAAAATTGTAAATATTTGTTTTTCTTTGATCTAATAAATACCTTCAAGGGCAGTCATGTAATTTCAATGCCACCACCAATTAAGTGGGTCCCACAGTAAATCCCAACTCCACCTCCCACCCGTCTCTCCCTCTCTCTCTCTCTCTCTCTCTCTCTCTCTCTCTCTCTCTCACACACACACACACACACACACCACACTCACACGCACTCTCACCTGCAACAAAAAGACTCTCCTCCGGCACCTCACACAATCGCCGGTGTCATCCCATCGACGGCATCGGCGGCCACATCTACATCGCCGACAACGGCTACCACTAGAAAACTCATCTCCACCGTCGACCACCGTAGAAGAGGCCAACAGGAGCTCCACCGTCCACCGTCTAACATGGAGTTTGCCGCTGCCACACAGCAACCACGCACCTCCCGCCGACGCCATCGGGTAACAGGCCGGCGCCGCCTTCCAAAGTCGCCTCATAAACCGTCGTCGTCTTCATCTGTCGGAAATTGAGCCGTGTTGCTCATCCACCTCCAGCGGGCGTCGTCTTCATATGCCAACGGAGGAGATGACAGTAGAATCGAGAACGGGCGCCGTCGAACGCGGCGGCGGGTATACAAGCTGAGGCCCATGGCGACGCCGACAACGGTGCCGTGAATTTGACCGGCGATTGGAGATGGTGACAGGAGGTGTTTGATTTGGGGGATTGTGTTTGAAAATTAAATGCATTTAGGGACATATTTGCAATTTCAGTATTTTTAGTATATTTCAATTTAGGTCATGGGTGCAATTTGTAATTAACAAATCTTAATTAATATGTTAATTTTGCTTTTTATTTATTTTCTATTGGTTGGATCTCTGTCGATTTTGTGCAATCCGATAGGCAGTTATGTGCAATACGTATAGTCATAATGTGCAATCGCAACACATAAAAAAATAGATAAAAAAATAGTGTTGTTTTTTGAATAATATATATATATATATATATAATCGGTAATATTTTTCATATAGTTCGACATGTTCGATTAGTTTGTATATTTTAAAAAACTAAATCTGACATTTAACCAACTATTATTATTCAATCGATTATCATAATTACTGTATTTTTTGGTATGACATCTTGTTGTTGTTTTATAAGGTGCAACATGATATGTTAAAAAGTGCAACATAATGTTGTGTAAAGTGCAGCTTATATAAAGTGCAATACTGAAATTTTGGTACGTTAGCATATATGTGCTTTTTTTTTTTGTGGACAAATGATATGATGGATATTAAATTATTATGTTGATCTGTTTATTAGATTTATATTGCGTAATATTTTGGGGAGAGTTGTTGATATTAATTGTGGAATGTGGTGACAAAGTGCAACTTGTTTTTTGATAAAGTTCAACATGTTGTTTTATAAAGTGCAACATTTCTCTAGATAAAGTGCACCAATTTATACAATCTATTGTTAATTCTATTACCGTAAATAATCAAAACAAATTTTATTTATATTGTAAAAAAAATGTAATATTTTTTCATATAATTCGGCATGTTTGGTTTCACAATTTTCATATAATTCGCTATCTGCATAAAGTGCAACGTATTATTTTATAAAGTGCAATATGTTATTTTATAAAGTGCGAACTTTCTCTATATACAGTACACTAGCTAATTTATAAATTTTCTCAGATAAATTATGTGTATGTACATCGAATTAACATAAATAATAAAAACAAAATTATTTATTATTTTTATTATATAATTTATAATTATAAACTATTTCTATATTATTTTAATATATTATATTAATTTTATTTAATAAATGATCTATTAATTCAAAATGTTTTTATATTATTTTATTATCTTATTTTATTTTTATTTATTAAGGGTGTCCTTATGGGTGGGAATATTTTTTTATTTACTATTTTCATATATATGTGTAACACAATACATAACAAATTAATTTTTTATTAACTTTCAATAATTACAGATTTGATCTATGGGTGAAATTAAAATATAATTAAAATATCAAAATTGCACATAGGTCCTTATACACTATTTAATTCTCAAAAAAATTGCCCAACACCCAATTCCAATTTCAGCCTTTGAAATCGCCGCATCACCTCCTCTCACTCCGGCGATGGCGAGGTTTGAGCTCCGGGAGGCGGCGGAGCGTCCGGTGATGGCATTTTTCGAAGATCTCCAACTACAACCAGAATACCTTCTCCCAATGACCAGCGGATAGAGGTCGCCAGAGATGATTAGGGGCAGCGACGGAGTTCTGTATTGCGAGGAATTGGAGGTTGGCTGACGTTTGAAGGTCGCTGGAGACGAAATGAGGTGGCCGGCGAAAGCGGATTTATTAGAGGAGGTTATAGTAGATGAGGGGCGGCGGCTATGGCGCGGAACGGCGGCTATGGCGCGGAACGGCGGCTATGGCGCGGAGTGGCGGCAGGCGATGATGAATATGGTGGCCAACTGTGCGTGTGTGTGACTGTCGGCGGCTAGTGTGTGTGTGTGTGTGTGTGTTTTATCGCCGACGGTAGGTGTGTGTGTGTGTGTGTCGCGTGGGGTGTGTGTGTGTTCTGTGTGCATAACTGTGTGTGTCACGTGTGTTTAATTTTGTGTGTGTAGTGTGTGAGAGATAAGAGTGTGTGAAATATATGATGTGTAATGGCCATGTGTCATTATATCATTGGATGTGGGTGAGTATTAGTTGACATGGATTCCACATGTGATAATTAAAATGTCTAAAATACCCTTAATGAATAAATAAATACTGGATTTTTTGTATTCGTTCGATCATTTGATCCGATGGTTGTAATGTATTCTTATTTCATTCACTAAGCACCTTTCTCACTGGAACCCCCCTATATTATATATATAGGCAAGCATTTCTTGTCTTGCTGCTTTGGCCTCGGGGTAATTTAGTTTGGGATCGAAGCATATTCCTATTTAGTCCTGTACTTTCAAAAGTCAACGCAATTTCAATCCTTCCGGCGCCCAAAAGTCAAAATTGTGGTCCAATTTGTCACGAGGCCCGCACGTAAAGAGCTTAAGTCCGTTTTCCGCTGACTTGGCATGCCAATAGGCGGACGTGGCAAAGAAAAGGATTAAAAATTATCAAAAAAAAAAAATAAAAATCATTTGATTACGAAGTTCAAAATATGATTTGGCATTCTTACTGGACTTGAACTTCGGGGGGTGTATTTAATTGAGGTTTCTAAAGACTTTTTACGTATTCAGTTGGGAGCGCTAGACGGTGTTTGGGAATCTAGCGGGCGTCTAGCGACTTCTAGAACACTGGTTTTGATACTCTTCCATTACTCTTGCAAACATGCATACTGTTACATTTAACCCCATAATTACGCATTACATTCGCTCCCTTTGATGTGGTTGATATCAAGTGTCAATCAATTGGCGTTAAAGGAAGGGCTCATTGAAGGGTTTTGGTGAATCTTTCCGTTCTCATTCAATAAAAATATATCATAGCCACCAAGACATTCTCAAAAACATTTTAATTCAGTTGAGAAATAGATTAATCAACTGAAGGAACTTCTGGAGAAATAGAGGTAAAAAGTATTTTTGGAGAAAACGAAAGCTGAGTTGAAGAAGAAGAAAGATGATGAGGCTTTGAAGACGGGGGAGGCGGGTAAAAAAAAGGTTAATGACGCACAGAAAGTGGCTACCGGAGAAAGGAGAAAGGAAAAAGGCTAAAGAAAATAGGCTCCTATTTTGGAGATCTCAATTTTTCCATCATCTTCTCAGTATACATGATTCAAAGCATGAAGATGAAAAATTAGAAGGTGTATGAGAAGAAGAAGAGGACGAAGAAATTGGCCGCGTCCGAGTAAAGAGCACGAAGGCCAGTCCACACTGCTGCAAAGTACGATTGACACCGGTTCAACAGAAACGACGACGGCTTCTTCTCGGACTCGCTATGGGTAAATTCCTACTAGGTAACCAAAATTTAAATAATTTGAACAAAACTACGCACAAAGTATGTCTTTTTTTCTCCTTTTTTAATTTTATTTTATAAGCAACATAATTGAAATTGGAATTTTTCCCAGATCACTGGTGTTCAACCATGACTGATTACAAGATTTAGATTTAGGTTTTCATTTGTATGATTTGATAAAAGAAGATTTTTTTTTTTTTTTTTTGTTTTGTTTCAGGTGAACGTTATTGTCCCAATAAGAAACCCAAGTTCTCAAGGTCCGTGAGAAACAATTTTTTTCTCCCCCAAATAGAAATTGTTGCTTGACGATAGCAATTTATGTTTTTTTTCGATCGATTCATATGCATTCTATGTTGTCTGGTAGTTCAATTTTTAAAATTGGGCTTCATGTGCGTTATTCATGGATAATTGTTTAGATTTGTTTTATGTTCTCGAGGGTCGATGGACATGGACATACCTTATATGGATTTTGTTTTTATAGAAATGTTTTAAGATTTTGCTCTTTTGAGTTTCACTACTGGTTTATGAGTTGTGAGGTCGCTTAAATCCGTGTGTGTGCCCATGCATCCCTAAACTGAAATTGTTGCTTAAAGTTACCTGCTTATGTTTTGTCTATTGATTCATATACATTCTGTGTGTTGTGTGTGTTGTCTGGTAATGTTTTATGCTGGAAACTGAATTGTAAAATTGGGACTCAATGTATGTTGTTCTTGGATAATTGGTTAGATTTCTTTTATGTACTTGAGGGTCTATAGACTGAGATGTACTATTTAATCGATTCCTCAATTAACCGAGAATCAAATTACGTGGGAGGTTATATAATCATTTGATAAATCAGAAAAGATTGCTTTCTAATGGCATGTGGTAATATGAACTCTTTCAGTTGTAAAGTTTCTTTCAGTAATTTAGGATTTGACGATTATCACAATATGAGCCTTTTAGTAAATATCAACAGGTTGGAGGGAGAGACTCTTGCCACGGCTTCCACTATGGAGCAGCAACGTAAGAAAATTACTTATCAGGTAATGTATTGAGTTTTTTTGCTGAAAATTAGGTGTTTTTAAGTTAACTCAAGGTGAATGTATTTACTATGTAAATTTGATCGATAGTAATGCTGCTAATGAAAATCAAAATCACATTCTACTCAGCGTACTTTTATTGCCTTTATTTTTAGGCAATTAGTAATTGTCATGCCAATTATTGTAATATACAATTTTGATTAACAAAATGATGGTAAAATTGATTTATTTTGCAACTAGCCTGTGGCAACTGTGTAGGTAGACTTCAATCTTTGTATAAACATTTTGTGCATTAGATAGATAGACTAGATTTGTACAATTGCCATACATACATTTGAATCTAAACTTGCAACTAGATTTATCAATCAGTTATTTTCACCAAAGCTTGAATGATTTTTACAAATAGAGGTATATGAATTTGGATATAACTTAAAAAAGTTGATTTTAACACTCTTCGTCCAAATTGTGTAGGTGTTGAAAAGGTTGGATCGAAATCCGGGCGTGTTTGTCCCATTTTTGTTGCATTTTTCGTTGTTATTTTGCCTTTCTTTTTTCCCCATACTAGGTCTTTTAGTTGGTTTTTAGCTCGTTTTGTAGTCTATTGTACGTCTTGTTCTAGTTTGGCTTTTTATGTGTTTTTCGTGTATTTTGTCGGTTTTCTACGTTTTTCTTCTTGTTTTTAGTGTGCAGGTCGCAAGCCCCGTGAGGAATCGATTTAGCTCAAAAATAGACCGGGAAATCATGGTTGGATAGATGAGCTCGTTGGGGATATATAAAAAAAAGCGGAATTATTTCGAGTTCGTACGAGTCCGAACGGGCCCGATATGTGAAGTCGCACACGGAAGCTGCCAACATCAAGTCAAAAGATTTGGGAGAATAGGTTTTCAATAATAAATTGAATTTTAAAGCACCATTGCGTAGAGGGCTTCATTGGCAATGCATAGGAAAAAACGGAACTCAATTCCGAGTTTGGACGAGCCCAAACGAGCCCGAGACGTGAAGAAGTGCGAGCTGCCCTGGCCCCAGGCCCGCCCCGCGCCGCGGCAGCACCGCGACCCGAACTGCGACCCCTGCTCCTGCTCTCGCGCCCGTGAAGACCTGCCGTGCCGCGTCGTGCCACACCAGCGCTGCCGCGCCGTGTCGCGCCTTCCTCACGCCATGGCCGACTTTTCTTATAAATATGTGTACGAGAACTCGTTTTATTCATTCTTCCCCTCCTGGGGACGAACCCTAGGCTCAGAAAAAAGAACGCAACTCTCTTCTCCTCCCTACCTTCTTCTTCTTCATTTTTCCTTCTCTCTTCATCTTTCTTCTTCTTCTTCTCCACATCTAAGAATTAAGCTTGTAATTTGGATTCAACTCTCGGATTAGAATTATTGTAAGTATTTTTCATCTCGTTTAATTCATGTGAATGATTATTTGGGGTGGAATGCTTTATTGTGTTGAATTCATGTTACTTAGCTAAATCTTATTGCTAGGGATAAGGGATGATTGTTCATGTTTCACGTGTATTTGTCGGGCTTAAATTGTTCATGCTTATGTGAGTTAATCTGATTAGGAATTGATGTAATCTTGCTTGATTGATTGATATAATCGAAGATTGACACTTCGATCTTGCGATTGGAAACGATTGAATGTTAATTTGTCGAGTTAGGGTTTGTTAATTCTATATGATTAGTTGATTAAACACCTTCTAATTTAATTAGCGACTTCTCGAACCGAAAGGGGAGAAGTCGTAGACCTAGGCTCGCATGAGATAGATAATTTCGTAATTGAATAATTTATGGGTTGAGATTGAAATACGTGTTTGTCAATGACCGTCCTTTGTTACGAAAACTTATTGAGATTGGGATAATTGGCCTGTGTTGTATGCTCGAGCTTGTTCGCCTATGTTCAATCCCTTGTTACGAAGAGTTATTGGGAGCGAACCGCTAGATGTTTAAGCGAGAGTGTCAATCTCAAACCGAACAATTGATTGTCCGGTTTTGCCAAGAACTTGAATAAATTATCCCCGATTCCCTAGCTTCCCCATCTTTGTTCCGTTCTTTTATTCTTAGGTAGATTATTGCTTTTTTTCTTTCTTAGTTAATAATTATTCAAAAACCCTATTTGATTAGAGTGTTTAGGATTTTATTTTCTTTTCGTGTGAAATCAATACCGAAGCTAAATTCCAAACCGCCTTCCTCGAGAGATCGACTCGAGGTCGGGAGTCATCCCGTACTCGGTAAAAACAACAATTTGTGCTACAACAAATTTGGCGCCGTTGTCGGTGAAGGCAAGTAGGACATTTGGTTTTGGTGTTGATTTTATTTTCTGTTTTTCTCTTTATTTTGTGTTTTTCGTGTTCGTGTCCTTTGTTTGCATCTTTGTTTTTCTTTTTGTTTTTGTTTTTGTTTTCTTCTTGTTCTCCTTCCTTTTCGTGGCTACGTGTGGTTGTTCTATTTTGGTGTGCAGGAGATATGAACTTCAACCGTACTTTTCCCTATCCGCACACTCAACCTTGGGGTTACGAGCCGAGCTATCCCGCCGGGTACCACACCCAATCTTATCCGTACTCTTCCGAGCAGTGCTGGCACCATTTTTCGATTGAGCAAACTTATGAGTCCCACGAGTTTAACGAGAAGCTCGACCGGATTCTTGATTTCGTAGAGTCCAAATCAGCTCGAGAAGAAGAGGCCGCCTATAATGCCAAACTTGATCTCATCCTAGATCGATTGATGGCCCAAGCAAAACGAGAGGAGAAGATTGAGCTCATATGTGCCCGTTTGAGCGAGCAAGTGGAGAATCTAGCAAGGCGCATCGACTTTATCGAGTCCCAGGCCGATGATCCCAAGGTTGTGGACCCCCATCCAGTACCCTTGCACTTCAATGAGCTCGGGGATGACTCTTCGGGGTACGATGCCAAGCTTGACCTCATCCTCGATTGGATGATGGCCCGAGCAGACCGAGAAGGAGAGATTGAGCTCAGATGTGCTCGATTGAGCGCACAAATGGAGAGCCTTACAGCACATATCGACTCAATCGAGACACAAGTCAACGATCCCCACCTCATTCTTGATACTCAAGCCCGTACGATGAAGCGAGCTGGCATGCTTACTACTGGCGTGCTTTCTTACACCATTCACTGAAAGACTTTTACCTACGGGATGCTCTTTCACTTTCCATGCTCTCCTTTCGCGTCGAGACTCACTTTGCTCTCCTGGAAACTAAGAGACTCACTTTGTTCTCCTGAGCCACTAGAAATATGCGGGAACGACTTGTAGAGTCCTCTATATTCTAAATATGCCTTTCTAGGAGCATTACGATCTGCAGCTCAAATGGTCCCTTATGAAGTCTCTATTAGTCTTATTCTTATTGTGCTCCTTGTGAGCACGTTTGGATCCGCGAAGACAATCGCTCGGATCTTCCCCTAACAATGTGTGAGGCCGAAGAAGAGATGATGAGCTCCAGCGAGACGTTGATGTTATTTCAGAGGAGGAGATCCATGGGCTTGATTCTCAAGTCACTCATCCCACCTCTGAGTTGGAGCATCTATCTTCGAGGTTGTTGCACTGTGTTACGAAGTGGGTGGGATTCAGTTCGACTTGCTCCTATGATGTGCTTATCATCCCGGAGGTTGACGACAGAGCTCGGGTGGGAAAAGTTCTATGTCGGTTACTCGGGATTGCTCGTGCCCGAACCTGGTTCACCAAGAACATGGCCACCCGGATCCACCATGCCCGCCTTCTTGCCACCCTTCCCATGCTGCCACTTCTGGAAAATACGAAGGCGTGGCACGATCGTCACTTCTTTCTGGATCCTGGTTGATAAGTGTACAGGTTTCGTCAAGCTAATGACGTTAAACAAGCGCTTCTTGGGAGGCAACCGAAGTGATTTATTGCTTTCCTAGTTATTTTCTTTTTGCTTTTTAGTTTTATCTTTGAATAACGGGAATTTTGGAGTTTTGTGTTTTTCTTGGCAGGTACGAGTTTGCGAGCTTGAGCAGGAGAAATATCGAGGTTTTGGGTTGAGCATAGGCGAGCGGCTTGCACGTGAATGCTTACTCTCCTCGATACACTTCGGTTTGCACACCCTTTTTCCCTTTTCTTTCTATCCTTTTTAAGTTGTTCTTTCTCTTGTCTTTTCTTTTGAGTCTTTTATTCTTGTGTTAGCTGCTAGTATTGGTTCATGATATGAAATTGCTAAGTCCTTTATTTGACTTCCTGTTTGGTGTTGAAGCAATGAGAACATTGCCTCATTTTAAGTGTGGGGGAGTTATTCGAATTTTTGCATACTTATATGGTGGACCGGTCTAGTTTTAGGTTTTTGTGTTGTTGAGCATGTGATATTGGTGAATTATAGGATGTGTTGATGAATGTCTGATGAAATTGGGAAGTTGTGATGACGAACGTATTGGTCATTGCCTCGGTATTTGCTTGATTGCTTTGAGTGACAATTATCTGCCCTGTGAGGTTTTGATCCTTACACTTCTTTCTTGTGGGATATTGGTCATATTTATTAATGATTAGAACTTGCCTTGAGTTTGTTTGAAATGAAACGATTAGAGTCTGAAATTGTGAAGATGATTGAGGCGTTTTGTTTGATTAGCTCATTTTTGCCTTATTCTTGATCCCAAAAATAATTTCTACTAGTAGCCCGTTTGAGCTTTGAACTTTTTTCTTGTCAGCCTTACATGAAATATATTTCGTTGACTGATTTGGTGATGATTGGTGAAAATGGTGTCGTTGTTGAATGAGGTGAATTGGAGTTGGATTTCTTTTGCTTGATAAAAAAAAAAAAAAAATGGGAGCTCACAGGACGAATCGAATGGATTCTGCTCCTCTTACTAGTTGATTCATTTTAACAGGTAATGAGCATTGGGAAACTACTGTAGGAAACTTGGATGACCTCCAATGTTCACACCTACAGAATGTTGTCCTTTTGATTCGATCTGATTCGGAAAAAGCTACTCTCCAAATAAAAGAATATATAAAAAAAAACAAATAAAAAAATCTATAAAAAAGAAAAACAAAAGAGAAGGTCAAGTATTGAAGTTTCAGCTTGAGTTGAGCATTTAGGTGTTGTTTGTGGAGTTTTGTTGGACGGGGTGTGTGCTGTCATATTGATTCTTGGATGAGTAGCGGATCCTTGAGTAGTTTACTTGCTTGAGATTTATGATACTTTACTTGGGCTTCTTGTCCTGCATATATGTCCTTAACGTGACCAAAAAGGGCGCATAAATGGAGCTTTTGATTCAGCCCGGGGCTATTTGAGAGTAGTTCGGGAGGCACAAATGACGACCAACACCTTTGAGAAGGCTTGGCGTGCTGCAGCCATTCACACGAGGATTTTAGACTAAAACTTTCACTGCATACCAAAACTTTAAAAGCATCGCCTCTTCTCAAACACTACTTATTCATTTGAGACCATGTCAACTTAATACGCATAATATATGTAGAGAGCTGCAGCAACTACCTATAAACCTGTGTAATGAGCCCTTTATGGTAAAAGCTTATTTTGTTAACAACCAGTGTAAAAATGGACATGAACTTCACTGATCATTACAATTAATGAAAAATTTTCACTGTATTTTTAGACTAAATTTGAGTCCGCGGTACGTGCACGGCGTGACCCAACTAGTATATATATATATAGACATTTGTTGAAACAATGGGTAATGAAACCTCTCAATTTTAAGCATTTGTTGCTCAATACAGACAATTTCGAGNGTAAGATACCCAATTTACTGACTCTAAAGGTCGTTACTTTCTGAAACTATACTGCTCCGGCCCAGCTTCAAGCCTCCATGGTATACCCGGCTAAGTGACTCTTATACACTAGAAACCATAATTTCTGATATAGAAATGAAACAACCTTTTTTTTTTTTTCGGAACGATAGAAATTCTCATTAACTGAAAAAGAGTACAAATCGGAGAATTAACTAATCCTACTACATAAACAGTACAAGGAGAGGACCACTAAACACTTAGGGGCCGATTGTTTATAGTTTCAACAGTAAAAAAACCAATCAAAACTTAAATTTAACTCAACTTTAACCCAACTCCAATATCTCTCATATTATCAATATAATTAAATAATATCAACCAATCATTCTTACACATCACATCAACTTTAATTCACTATTCATTCACTCACATAATTTTAACTAACAATCACTTCCAATCATTTTTCTCCTACTTTACATCAAATCAATTTTAATTATTTTATTTAAATAATATTTTAACATATCCACTAACAATTAGTTATACTACATTTTTTCAAAATTAACTATAATTAAAAAACAAACCACATAAAATCTAGTTGAATTCATATACAATCACCACTTTAGTGTCCTAAATCCGACCAACAGAACCACACAAAGACTATAGGCAAGTGAAACACTTGGCACCTACAATCTAAAAACAGCCCAGAGCCAAAGAAATAAAACTAACTAGAAATATTTAGTTGAAAACTGAACACAAGAGACCTAATCAACTAGCCATTTCCAGAATTAATCCACGGAGAGTGTGCGGTTTTTGAATTCTATGCTGTAATTTTATAACTTCACCCGCCGGTACCCGTCATCTCATCTCGGTCCACACCCAACCAACATTGCAAGGGCCCGACCCGCCAACCATCTGATACGATCAAATGACGGTGATAATCAGCGGGTACTTGGAGCATCGAATCCCGGTGCTCCACTCGATCGCGTCCGCCTACTCCGCCGCGCCGGCTATGGCTGCCGTCCTCCTCCTCTGTTGCAACCCCTCCACTCCTCCCCAAACCCTCGGAACCTCTCCGGCACTACCGCTGTGCTCCGAGAGCCCTCCTCCAGCCTGAACCACCGGTTCTACCCCCAGGAGATCATCCGGACCAGAGCCGGCCTCATCTGCGAAGCCGATGGAGCCCGCCCCGAGATCCGTCTCGTTCGCCTTCACTGCTGGAGAACCGACCCGGATAGGGCTGTTGGGCTATTCGCCAGGTCGCACGCGTTCGACGTCGCGTCGAGGGCATGGATATACACCATGGAGAGGGAAAAATACTCCATCTTTCTCACCAAGTTCATGATCGTCTTCGTCGACATCGAGCACCTAGTGACGTATTGTGCGGCGGGAAGTACCGGGAGGTGAGGCGAGTAGTGGAACTGTGGAGGAGATGAATAACTGCGAGGATATTCTGATGAATTTCGTGGTGGCGGAGAAAACCCAGAGAGGGCCGTTGCTGGTGGGGGTAAGGAGCGGCAAGGTGCGGGATTATGGAGATGGGTGAAACGATTTGGCGGCTGACGGTTTGCAGGCGGTGGGTTTGAGCGGCAGAAAAGGGGAGCACAGGAAGAAGAAAGGGGAGTGTATGAGGGAGTTCCATATGGTTTCGGGGAGGATGCCACTGAAGTACGGTTATCGGAGATGGTGGATGGTGGATGGTGTAGGGGAACAAGGGTTGTGCGAGAAAGATGGGAAGCTGGTACCCTGGGATAGCAAGATTTCAGGTTAAAGACTCATCAAGCTTTCTTATCTTTTTCTGTTTTCTTTTTATTTTTTGCACTCTTATCATAGCTTGGGTAGTTATCACAATTGTGATCGAAATGGATATCTTTTTTATATTATTTTTATGAAAAAGCTTTTTAATAAATGAGTTATTCTTCAAGATTACTATTTTTAGGTATTAAGAGAAGAATTGGTTGTTTGTATTGGTGTGATGGTTACTGCCCCAAAAACGCTGTTGTCTATTTATAGTAATGTACCAAATGGATAACTTAAGTAGAAAAATAATTAGTATGTTGGAAGAAAATGCATTTTGACCTCTTAGATAGGTTTCTGTTTCCAGGGGTTTTCTATTATGGTCATGTGTCTTAGCATAATGTTAGGCAACAATGACCAAGAAAACTATCTCCTAAAAATTTGCAGGCAGTCAATCATACTAATAATATACCCGCTAAATATGGAGCTCCCCTTACACATCTGAGAGGGAAAAGAAAAACAAGGAGAGTAAGAGAGAGAAACAGGGTGTGAGTGTATTGTTTTTGTGTGTGCGAGGGAGATAGACGGGTCAAGAACAAATTCAGGTTTCAATCTGTAGAATGCAGAGCATCTAAAAGTTCTTGTGTCTAGAAAGAATTGATTCAAAGTTCAAACCCACAAGAACTTTGTGATCATCAAGAGGAGAAAATAAAATTGTACCTAGATTATTTATTCTCTTATCAAGTCAAGGAGAACACTTAAAAAGTTTTAAATTTGAGGAAAAGGCAAAAAAAAAAAAAAAAANCAAAAAAAAAAAAAAAAATGTGGCCCCCGTCTGGTAATCATGGGGGGATGCCCCTGATGACTAGATTGGTAGCTGTGGCTATCGACAGGGATAAGGGTAGCCAAATTGCTCTGAAATGGGCTGTTGACAATCTTCTTGCCAAAGGCCAGACTGTAATTTTGGTTCACGTCAAAGTGAAACAGTATTTTTCAGGAACGCCGACATCCCCGTCTTTGCCTAGCCCTTGTACATATTGCTGATCGGTTTTTTCTTGTTTTGTGCATACCTCAGTTTGTATGGCTGCATGCTTTGTTGATATGTTTTCTGTGTGCACGGGGGCTTTGGATTTATTACCCTGTAATTTCCATGAAACAGATTTATCCCAAAATTCTACTCATCTTTCTCTCTCTCTCTCTCTGTAAGCAACTGATGTGTAACTGGAATTTGTTCCTTGTCCTACATATATGTAACTCTGGTTAAGAATTATTGTTTTATTCTCCTATGTTACTATGTTTTGTTATGACTTTAGATGCTTCTTTGGCAAGAATGTATTTAAGAAATATTATTCACTCAAGTTTATGATGAAAATATGCCTTTTTGTGGCATTAGATTTTGTTTCTTTGTAATTAGTTGCCTAGAGAAACCTTCTGAACATAGAATTGCTTATTTCCACGTAATCTAAGTTGGTGGATTTGCATATTCCTTAAATTATTCTTTACTACTTGATTTAGAATGCATAATTTTGATTTGCTCAAGTTTTGCTGACAATGACCAAATTATTTTTGGCACCACACGGTAGATTCTATATCTATTTTCTTCGGTGCAGGGCCTAACAGTCCTTCAGGTCCCGGTGATGAAAATGGAGATGATGCACAATTCAAGGACTTATTTCTCCCTTTCAGAGTCTTTTGCACACGAAAAGATGTGAGTGTTCCAGATTTGGACATTTTTGTGTTTATTGTGCTGGCTGTGAAAATATTATTTGGTTCTTAGCATATCAGTTCCTGGTGTGGCACAAATCTGTTATAGACGTATCACAGGGATCCTTTCTTAGGTGCCTTGAGGTGTTTTCAAAACCTTTTGCTTTTACGGCAATTGTGTGATGTTTGTAAAAGTAAAATCAGAAGCAGAATTAATATCTAAAGCACCCCTTCCACTACTTTTGGATAGTCGGCATTTGTTTAAGAATAAATTAGTTTTCATCCAAAAGGTGAGAATAACTTTTTTTTTTCTCTAAACGTATTGCATGATTGCGAACAAAAACTCATTCAAGCTTGAATGAAGCTCGTTTGTTTATTAATCGAGCATAGCGCGGACAAGAAAATTGGGCTCCTTTGTTTATCAAACGAATATGAGCCTATTCGCGGACGTTCACTAACATTTGTGCACAGTAATTTCATATATAATTTACTTTTTTATACTATATTGTATAATAAATGTAATAAAAAATTATGAAGTACCAAAATATATATAATATATATTACTTTTAAAATTATTTGTTTTCGAGCTCGAACGATTTCGAATAAATTGAACGAAAGTTAATCACACAAATTTTGTAAGCTTGTTGACAAAATTATTCGAACACGAACTATCTCGGACCCTGATGAACAAAACAATTAAACGAACGACCACGGCCACAAATTTTTGCTCGAGTAAAATAAACAAGCTTAAAATAATTGAACACAAGTTTGAAATGCTCAAGTTCGACTCATTCAGTTGGATTACAACATGGTTACAACATGGCCATAATGATGGTCCCACTCTCGAACCTCTTCATAAACTTGTTTGTTTGCTTTTGTCAGATACGATGCTTTGATGTTGTGCTGGATGAAACAGACGTAGGCAAAGGTATAATCGAGTTTGCAAAGCAATCTGCAATTGACGTGTTGGTTCTTGGTGCTACAGTGAAAGGCAGCATCTTCAGGTACACGTCCTCTGTCCAAGAGTTCTCCTAACAATTGAAAACTTATGATTCTCTCCTCATACCTCAAAATGATTATCCCCAATCTAATAATATTAGCCAAGTCTAAATACACTACACGTTCTTAAACAAACAGATTCAAAGCAAAGGACATACCTGGGAGCGTGTTAAAAGGTGCTCCTGATTTTTGCACCATATATGTCATCCACAAAGGCAAGATCTTGTCCACACGGGCTGCTTCTCGCCCGGCCCCATCTATTCTGAGCCCGATTCGTAATCAGATAATGTGTCAAGCTAGCAGCAAGATTAATGGATCAGAACAGCCAATGGCCTCCACTCCCAGTTCTAGAAGTTAGTTATTATTCTAAAGCCTGATTTTATCCTTGTTTTTGTTTATCATTATCTCAATTTTATGTGTATTTTTCTCTTTGTAGGTTCATCCTCAGGACACTCGAGGTTAGGATCTGAACCATTGCCTAGGCAGATGGAGGCAATTGCCATCAAGTATGTTAATATTTATAAGGTTTCCTTTTCTGAGGCATACTTTGATTTAAGTAAAGGAAAATCATGAGAAGGTTGATATATTGCATTGACAGAGGTATAAAATACTGCCTAATTATTACACGCCGACAGGTCACCGTTCACTCACAGGCGGGCGCCAAATGGAAAAGCATACGAGGTGTCTGCACCAGAGACCGACATATCATTTGTCGGCTCGTCTACAAGGAGAAGTGTCGATGCATTTCCCAATTTTAGCGAGAGTTTTGATGGGGCTCTCACTCCTCCTCGGCTTTCTGGATTCTCGGAAATTGAGTACTCTGACCCGTGGCACCAGGGACGCAAGTCGGTGGACATCTCGTCCCCTCTTGAACTCTCGTCTCCGTTCGAGAACGAGAAGGCATTCTCGGCACAAACAATGGTAAACTCGTCTGTATTTACGACATTGAGATGGATAATTACGTGCAGAAATTAATAGTGCAATAAATCTGGTTCCAATGGTAATTTTGGTTCTCTTTTTTAAGTTGGAAATGTAAGATTTGCTGAGTTAGTATTTGAAAGTAATAATAAAACTAATTCAAAAACTACACCAGATAATATTTTGTTTGTCGTGACATGCTACGGATTTGTGTGTGTGTGTAGAAATATGATTTCTTCTGCAATAAAGTTGAAATGTTTTGTACCCGGACATCATTTCTGCATCATTCGACCTAAATAAAAATAATAAAATGTGTACATGATCTTCAGAATAAATATACCCAATGAAAACCTGGCTCTTTGATTAACAGGATGAAGTAGAAGCTGAAATGAGGAGGCTAAAGCAGGAGCTGAAGCAAACGATGGATATGTACAGTACTGCATGCAAGGAAGCACTATCAGCAAAAGAGAAGGCACAAAAAGAGNTCCATATTCTTAATTATTCTTTTCCCTAATATTGTAGGCAATGGAACTCCAGCGCTGGAAAATGGAAGAACAGAAGAGGCTGGAAGAGGCCCGGTTAGCAGAAGAAGCCGCACTTGCCCTAGCAGAAAAAGAAAAGGCCAGGTCCAAAGCGGCCCTCGAACATGCCGAAGCCGCCCAGAGGCTAGCCGAGCTGGAGGCCCAGAAGCGGATCAATGCAGAAATGAAGGCCCTAAAAGAAGCAGAAGAGAAGACGAGGATGTTCAGCTCATTGGCACAGTCGGACACCCGATACAGGAAGTACACGATCGAAGATATTGAAGTTGCTACAGAATATTTCGCGCAGTCGAGAAAGATTGGGGAAGGTGGTTATGGGCCTGTCTACAAGTGCTACCTGGATCATACTCCGGTCGCGGTGAAGGTCCTCAGGCCCGATGCTACTCAAGGGAGATCTCAGTTTCAGCAAGAGGTACTACTTTCTATTGTATATTTTGGGGAAAGAAAAGATTAAAGATGAATGATTATTGTCTGAGTAAGGTGAAAGTCTTGAAATAAAGATTTGGAATATAGATTAAACATGAATTGGTCCTTGATTGATATTAGTTGTGTAACAATTTAGTATGATACTGTTACTCACATGGAGGTCATTCTCTCTAAATGAACATGCTAGCCATGGTCTCAAAATTAATGAAAGAGACTAAGGTTATGTTTGGTAGTCAAATAAGTTAGTTTATAACTTATTTGGTTAGCTTATAAGCTTCCTGTATTCAAATAAGCTTCGTTTGGTAGGACGAGCTTTTTTAAAAAGCTCGAGCTTATCACATAAGCTTCTTTCATTAGCTTTTCAAATAAGCTAGTTAAAAAATTTTATTTCAGCTACCTTATCAGCTCATTTTACCAAAGACTTCTATCATATAAGCTAGCTTTTCAGCTATAAGCCATAAGCTCGAAAAATCACTAATAAGCCATAAGCTAAAATAGTATATCTTTTAAAATATTTAGTTTAATCTCCTTGATATACATACAAGTTACGAAAATAAAAATGTAGAACTAAAGGCCAAACAATTAAACAACAGGTCGAGATCTTGAGCTGCATACGTCACCCGAACATGGTCCTCCTTCTGGGCGCCTGCCCCGAATACGGCTGCCTCGTCTACGAATACATGTCCAACGGCAGCCTGGAGGACCGTCTCTTCATGCACGGCAACACCTCTCCACTGTCCTGGCAGCACAGGTTCCGTATCGCAGCAGAGATCGGCACTGGCCTTCTCTTCCTCCACCAGGCCAAGCCCGAGCCCCTCGTCCACCGTGACCTCAAGCCAGCCAACATCCTCCTCGACCGAAACTACGTCAGCAAGATCAGCGACGTCGGCCTGGCGCGCCTCGTCCCGCCGTCCGTGGCCGATAACGTCACCCAGTACCGAATGACCTCGACAGCTGGCACTTTCTGCTACATCGACCCTGAGTACCAGCAGACGGGCATGCTCGGGGTTAAATCTGACATTTACTCTCTCGGGATTATTTTCCTGCAGATATTAACGGGGAAGTCCCCCATGGGCCTCACTCACCATGTGGAGCGGGCCATTGAGCGCGAGGCTTTTAGGGAGATGCTCGACCCATCTGTGCCCGACTGGCCAGTCGAGGAGGCCCTGTTGCTGGCACAGCTGGCGCTGCAGTGTGCGGAGCTCAGGAGGAAGGATAGGCCGGACCTTGGGAAAGTGGTGCTCCCTCAGCTTAATAAGCTGAGGGAGATTGCGGAGGATTCTATGTTGAGTGTGGTGCCGTATATGGGGACACCGTCCCCCACCAGTAGCCAAGTCTCTATGTCCAAAGTAAGTGAGTTGTTACTTGTCGGCTTCTGATTTTTTTTGGTGGTTATGAAAATGGTCCCCAAGTTTTGAATATATTAGCACAATCTGGATATTTGAAATTGCAATTGTTTTCTATAAAGATGTTAAGACTTATGAGCACCTTCTTGAGGTTTNNATTTTGTATAGGTGAAACAAATTGAAACGTTCCCCTGGGATTTTTTTGAGTCTCACATTTGCCATCCCTATAAGCATAATTACTAATATCATTTTTAAGAAATGGTCTTGTAGCCCTGTTATTTTTACATTGAATTAATCCCACATCTTTCAGTTTTAAACTAAGCAGCCTTTTGTAATAGGTTAAGCCTTGAGGGCACCTTTTGTAATTATCCATAGTATTGATTTTTGTAAATTAGTCTTTGAACTTTTCTCAAACCTGCATACATGCTACAACCAGGGTGGGAGTTAGTAGAACCCATTGATGGAATGTGTTAAATTTTTGGAAAATGAACTTGAGGTCAAAATCCAATGCCCTTATTACAACATAAGATCTTCTACCTGCTACTGCTAGAATTACCTGTGTATTAGAAAGAACAATGTTGCATACTTTATTACCCCTATGGAATCAAATAATTCCTGAAACTATATTTGCAGGACGATCTGAGTTTTCCACCATCATCATCCACGCAGTCAAGCATGGGGAGTTGATGTGCAGGTAGAGAGTATCTCTGTTCACTGAAAAATAGTTCTGGCTGTACACAGAAAGAAGAAAACCATTTTTTTCTAAACTGTTAATAGAAATCAACGAATTGTGGATTTTAACTTTGTTTTGAGTCCTTTTATCTAAACATTTTTAGGCTCTAAACGGCTAAAAAATAGTGCATGTTTTGTGAGGATTTTGTTTTCTTCAGCTTCAATATATAGTCTGGCCTGAGCAATATGGATTGTCTGTCTTTCAACTATATAGTTTTTTTTTTTCTAATTATCTGGAGAAAATAAATGATATTTTACATAGATCAACTTGTACTTTCAGCTGACTCTCTGTATTGCATTTTACCATGCGGGTCAAAGTTTTGTGGCTTTTACTTGTGTAAGTTGCTCTTGCACGTCGTACATTTTCTATACGTCATATGCAGTTGACGAATGATGCATCATTTTCTTGACAAAAATTGTTTTCCAGCATTTTCTCTAGAAACTGAAAGGTCACCATATGTGATAAGCTTTAAATTAGAGGAATACAGAAATCTCCTTCACTTGCGTAAGGAGAACAATAAAAAACGTAATTCGAAGAGGGCGAAAAAGTTCGGGTAGTGAACATAGACTAAAATTACAATTTACTCTAAAAAAATCTGAGTCACTTTTGATATAATAATGTCTGTAATGAATTTGTGCATGCTTTCAGTTGCATATGCACATGCACCCTTGGTTGAGGCGCCCACATTTTCTTACTTCCATGTTTTCTTGTAAAACATTTTGAAGCTTGTGAAGATTCACGCCATATTTCAGTCAACACGGCGTGCCTAAAAGGACAAAATTTAAACTATTTTTTGCTAATTAAATAACACATCACACTGTCACAATTTAGTTGACAGTAGTATTCCCACCAACCCAAAAATTAATTACCATACATAAATTTAGCTTTATTTTTATATCAATGTATTTTACCATACATAAATTTAGCTTTATTTTTATATCAATGTATTTTATAGTTTGGTATTTAATTCATTCTATTACATGAAATAGTAGTAATATTTTATCATCTTGGAAACACAATAGGAAATGAATGAATGAAATGGAACATGAACTAGTTGTTATACAATGAAAAAACACTTTATTTTGTATTTATTTATATCTTCTACTTTTGCCTGAAGACGGAATGCAACATATATATATATATGGGTTGCAGATCCAGATGAGGACACGTGTCTATCTGCTAACAGATGTTTAGTGCTGATCTGTTTAAAGATCGTTGATGTTGATTTGTCGATCTGGTAAATGTAAAAGCAAATCGTCCAATCAAAAGTCGGTGTCACATCATAATTGCCATGAATTTACGTTTGATAATTTCTTATTATCAACAACATTTCAACTAGAACATTTTTTTAATGAACAATTCAATCTTGGACTCTTTTCATTGCTCGATGCAAACTCAATAAATTTGTAATTCTTATACATTCAAAGTTATCAAATTGATCCACACGATAATTTCTCCAAGTATAAAAGTATGAAGAATGATTAATTACAGTTTCACATTCAAAGTTATCAAATTGATCTACGAACTAGCAAGAGGTACAGTTTCACATAGCAAGCTGTCTCATTAACTGGTACCATTATCCAAGATTCTCAACAAGGTACGATGGCGACTTTACTTCACGTACACTACTTGCAGTTCATTGAATCTGGACATTTGTATGATTTTCAAATTTTAATGCATATTTCATCACTGACAAGTATCTTCAACATTTCATGGTTTACATGCATCATGCATGTTGAGAATATATTTAGAAATTATTGTTAAGTACTTGTACTATAAATTGAGTTAACAAATTTTAAAACTGCAATATCTAAATTTACAACTGAATATTTAAATATATGATTTTACATAAAAAAAAAAATGAATATATAATATAGCAAAAACATTGATCATATTGTTTTTACTTTTTACATTAAAAAGACCTTAATTATAAAACATGAGGAATTAGATCTTGTTTTTTTTATATGTTTTGTATCCAAGCATCCTCAACTATTCACTGCTGAGTATATATATTAAGATGTGTTTATTAGCCACTTGACAATATATTGTGATCTTTCATCGAAACATCACTGTGTATGGTATATATACCAAGGAGAGTATGTTCATATGAAGTTGAATGACATTGTAAGACTTTAAATTTTGAAACTATTTAAGATTTTTTTTTTATTTGACTGGAATCTTAAAATCTTATATATGGAGATGAGATTAGGCGCGAGATTTTGTATAAGTATCCCATCTTTAAAGTCTCACTAAGTTATAAAAAGTCTAGATAAATTTAAGTAATAAATAAATTAATACCTCATGATTTTGTTAAACTTTTTAAAAATAGGAATACATCAAAATTGTTAAATACAACATGATTCTT